GATTTTTTTAAAATACACCAATAATGAATTCTCAGAAAAAGAAACTAACAACCAATCCCATTTACCACCGCAACAAATAAATTAAGATACTTATGAATAAATTTAACCAAGGAGGCAAAAGATCTGTACTTGGAAAACTATAGGATTTTGGGAAAAGAGATAGAAGAAGATATAAACAAGTGGAAGACTATAACATGGTTCATGGCTTTATAGAATTAACATAATTTAAATTTTTATACAATGCGAGCAAGCAATCTATTATTAAAATACCAATGGCATATGCTCCAAAAATTTATATGGAACCAAAAAGACCACTGAATAGCTGCAGCAATTTTGAGAAAGAAAAACAATGTTGGGGGAATCACAATACCAGATTTCAAGTAATACTGCAAAGCCATGTGGTACTCGCACAGAATAGGCATACAAACCTATGGAACAGAACAGAGATCCCAGAAATTGACCCAAGACATTATGCTCAATTAATATTTGACAAATGAGACAAGAGCATACAATGGAGTCAAGAGAGTCTCCAATAAATGGTGTTAGGAAAATTGGACACATGCAAAAAAAATTGAAGTAGAATGAACTTACATCATACACAAGAATAAACTCAAAATGGATAAAAGACTTAAATGTAAAACACAAGACCATAAAAATCCTAAAGAAACCATAGGCAACAAAATCTCAGACATCTCTCGTAGCAACATGGTTATAGATACATCTCCTAGGGCAAAGGAAACTAAAGAGAAAATAAACAATGGGACTACATCAAAATAAAAAGCTTTTACACAGCAAAAGAAATCATCAACAAAATAAAAAAGGAGCCCTCTGCAAGGGAGAACATATTTGGCAATGATACATCCAAAATATAAGGAACTCATACAACTTAACAAAAGGAAGATAAAAAATCCAATTAAATGGGCAAAGGATCTAAATAAACACTTTTCCAAAGAGGATATACAAATGGCCAAGAGACATTTAAAAACGCTCAAAGTCACTAATCATACAAGAGATACAAATCAAAACGACAATGAGGTACAGTTCCATCTCACACCTGTCAGAATGGCTATCTTCAACAAATCAACAAATGACAAGTGCTGGCAAGGATGTGGAGAAAAGGGAACCCTTGTGCACTGCTGGTGGGAATGCAGTCTGATGCAGCTACTGTGAACAGTATGGAGTTTCCTCAAAAAATTAAAAATGGAACTTCTGTTTGACCCAGTGATTTCACTTCTCAGAACACAGCCTAAGAAACCCGAAACACCAATCAGAAAGGATGTATGTATCCCTATGTTCATAGCAGCACAGTTTACAACAGCTAAGATCTGAAACGGCCCAGGTGCCCGTCAGCAGACAGTGGACAGAAGCTGTGGGACATTACACCAGGGAACACTATGCAGCAGTAAAAAGAAGGATCTCTCACCCTTTGAGACAGCTTGGAGGGACCTAGAGAGCATCATGCTAAGAGAAATGGGTCTGTCAGAGAAAGACAAGTATCCCATGATCTCCCTCATATGTGGAATCTAATGAACAAAATAAAGTAAACAGCCGAAACCGGTTTGGGTCAATGGATAGAGCGTTGGCTTGGGGACTGAAAGGTCCCGGGTTCGATTCCGGTCAAGGGCATGTACCTTGGTTGCGGGCATATCCCCAGTGGGGGGTGTGCAAGAGGCAACTGATCGATGACTCTCTCTCATCGATGTTTCTAACTCTGTATCTCTCTCCCTTCCTCTCTGTACAAAATCAATAAAATATATTTTTAAAAAAATAAAGTGAACAGAGTGGATCCAGAGACATGGAAGCAGGGAATAGAGTGCAGAATCTCAGAGGGGGAGGATGGCTGGGTGAGAGATAATCCACAAAAGAGCTTGGTGCATCTATGCATGGCCCATGGAGAGACAGTGGGGTACTCAAAGCCTAGGGCGGGGGATCAGAGGGTGGACAGGAGGGGTCAATGGGGGAAAAAAGGGAGAAATAGGTAATAGTTTCAACAATAAATAATTATTTTTTAACTTTTTTTAAATTAAATAAATCCTTATTGCTCAGATTATTACAATTGTTTCTCCTTCCTCCCCTCCCCCGTAGCTCCCTTCCACTCAGTTCCCACCTCACCTCTGCCCTTACCTCCCCCCAACCATTGTCCTCATCCATAAATGTACTATTTTAATCCAGTCTCTTCCTGCATCTCCCACACTCCTTTCCCCGATAATTATCAATCCACTCCCTTTCTTTGCCCCTGATTCTATTATATTCACCAGTTCATTCTGTTCCTCAGATTTTTAATTTGCTTGATTTTTAGATTAACTTGTTGATATATATGTATTTGTTGATCATAATTTTTATCTTTACCTTTTTCTTCTTCTTCCTCTTCTTAAAGAATACCTTTCAGCATTTCATATAATAATGGTTTGGTGGTGATCTGTGAAGCTCTTTATCTGCCCTTCTCTTCTGAATGATAACTTCGCTGGGTAGAGTAATCATGGTTGTAGGTTCTTGCTATTCATCACTTTGACTATTTCTTGCCACTCCCTTCTGTCTTGCATAGTTTCTGTTGAGACATCAGCTGATAGTCGTATGGGTGCTCCCTTATAGGTAACTGTTTATCTCTTGCTGCTTGTAAGATTCTCTCTTTGTCTTTTGCTCTTGGCATTTAAATTATGATGTGTCTTGGTGTGGTCCTCTTTGGATTCCTTTTGTTTGGGGTTCTGTGGACTTCCTGGACTTGTAAGTCTATTTCTTTCACCAGGTGGGGGAAGTTTTGACATTATTTCTTCAAATAGGTTTTCAGTATCTTGCTCTTTCTCTTCTGGCACCCCAATAATTCTAATGTTGGTATGCTTGAAGTTGTCCCAGAGGCTCCTTACACTATCTTCAACTTTCTGGATTCTCTTCTCTTCTTGCTTCTCCGGAGAAGTGTTCTCTACCTCTTTGTATTCCAAATCTTTGACTTGATTCTTGCGTTTCTCTAGTCTGCTGTTGGGTCTCTGTATAGTATTTTTTATTTCCTTCAATGTATGTTTAATTTCTAGTTGGTCCCTTTTCATATCCTTGAGAATCTCATTAAATTTATCGGCCTTTTCTAGGAAATTCTTGAAAAACCTTATAACCATGGTTTTGAACTCTAGATCCAGTCTTTTGTTCTCCCCCATTTCTTTTGCGATCTCTTTCCTTGTCTCGGCAATTTTGCTGCTTCCCTGAGTTGGCAGGGTGGCTTTGTGTGCTTGGTGTCCTATATGGTCCGGTGGGTCAGCCTCTCCAGTTACCTGAGGTAGACACTCTTGGTGCTCCCCTTTGTGGACTGTGTGTACAGCCTTGTTGTAGTTAAGTCTTGATTGTTGTTGGTATCACTAGTAGGAAATGACCTCCAGGCCTATTTGATATGAGTATCAGCTGTGTCTACACCAGCATACCTTCTGTATTGGAGACAGCCTTATAGGATCAGACTTGCAAAATTGCAATAGCCTTTGAACTCAGCGTGAATGGGGCGGAGTCTCAGGGCTGAGCTACCCGTCTTGGCTTCCCATATCAGTCCTGCCCTTGTGCAAGTGCCTCAGAGCTCTGCCTTCCATGGCTCCCCTGAGTTTCCGCTTGACAGTCCAGATTCCCCTTGTAAGAGTGTGGGTGCCCCAGAGGCTCTCCCTGAACTGGGTTTCAGTGCTCAGTGCAGTCGGATCTGGGGATTCAGTAAAGTTAGGAGCTTCCAACTCCTTCCTCTATGGAGCGGCTGCGACAACCTCCACAGTCAGACCTCTGTGGGCATTCACTCATGTGCCGCAGCTCCGGCTCTCCTGGTCTCCCAGTCTGTTCAGACCTCTCTGCGTGCACTCACTTGCACGCTGTGGCTCCCGGCTCCCCCGCATCTCCCAGACTCTGAGTCTCTGGGTGCCTTTTTCTACAGTCCAGACTCCACCCGTATGAGCCTGGGTCCACGGGGTTTGGGCTGGGACTGGGGTTCAGTGCAGTTGGAACTGGGGTGCAGTGCAGTCGGGGGCTTCCTTTCCCCTCCCGCCAGCCCGGCACTCGGCCGCCCTTCCTCTCTGCGCGCGTCTCCCTCTCTCAGTGCTTTGTGGCTCCCCTGATCCGTAAGCCTCTCTCCTTCTTTCTAGTTGTAGATTTCCCACTCCCACAGCTTTCCTGTGGTTTTGGATGATGTCTGTTCTGTCTTTTAGTTGTTATTTTGAAGTTGTGTGAGGCAGCAATTTAGGCGCTTACCTAGGCTGCCATCTTGGTTCTATTAAAGAATTATTTTATAAAAATAAATAGAAGCCAGCATATCTTTGAAGTTCAAATGGAAAAAATCATTTGCCCATAGTAAGGGACTCTCAATATTCCATTGGCCTCTATGTTATCCTGATGCCACTGCTGACCGTCGCAGGTTTGTAATAACTTGAAATATCTAAATGTGAGTTTTCCAATTTTGTTTTGTTATTTTTATTCAAGATTTTTTTGGATAACCAGTAACCTTTGTAATTCTAAGTGAATTTGAGGGTAAACTTTTGCATTTTTGGCAAAAAAAAAAAAGCAAGCTGTTGGAATTTTGATAGAATATAGAGCTTTTATGATCAGGAAAAACATCATGAGGATCTATTTTTTTCCGCAGGAGGAAAGGGCAAGTGTCTCCAGGAGAGCTGGCAGGGCTGGAACTGGACTGACAGCAGCAAGGGAAGGACGGACACATGTGAGACTCATTGGGGGTGCAATTTGGGGACAATGTGAGCCATCAGGTGGAGAGTGATTAGGAAGGGCACTAGGGCCAGGAGAAAACCAGTCTCTCTCTTATTCAAATCCGTGCAGCCTTGCCAGCTGACAGTCACCCCCGCCTATGCCTGTAGGACAGCCACCCTGCCAGAGAGGATGGAAGCGCATCCCGTCAGGTCCCAGGGGAGGAGCCGAGAGCCGAGAGCAGGGCCCATGGAGACGTCACCGCGGAGCCACACAGAGGCCACTTTGTGTGGTCCCAGCTGCTGCCCAGGTGCTCAGTGCCCGCTGCTCTCTCCTAGGGCGGAAGGGCCGCTGTGCGGTGAACGGGATGACCATGTACCACGGGGCCGCGTGGTCGCCGGAGCCCTGCACCACCTGCCTGTGCGCCCACGGAAGAGTGCTCTGCGACAGGACCAGGTGCCCGCCCCTGCGGTGCCTGCGCGTGGCCACCCCCGAGGGCGAATGCTGCCCGGTCTGCTCAGAACCCGGTAAACGTTCAGCTCAAACAGCATGTCACCTGGGGTTCAGTCCCCGCCCTCCTCTTCCCCTTGCACCTGCTTTAATGCCCGAGAACCTAGTTGTCAGAACACTTGCACTCCTGGCCCAGGATGACAGGCACGGGAGTTCCTTGGGAAGCAGCAGGGAGGGGCAGGAATAACCGGTCGGTGTCTCTGGGACCTCAGTGTCTCTTCTCTGGGATCTCGGTGTCTCTGGGAACGAGCTTCGGGACCTAGGCGGTGGGCCGGGCAGCCACGCTGACTCAGCGCTGGAAGGGAGGGAAGGGGGCAGGCCGCCAGCAGTCCCCGCCCAGTGTGGTGAGGCCTGCCTGCTCCTTGCAGTGTATTGCACTTCCCTGCTCACTCACCGGGGTGCAAGGATTAGCCCCAACGCAGAGGAAGACTTGGTGAGCAGGGAGGCTGGCCTGCGTGGGAGAGCGCCTGGACAGATTCCATTTGTCCATCCACAGCGTGTCACACTCGGGGCTGCTGGGCCCAGGGTCACTGGGCGGCTCTGTAGGCTGCTCACTGTCCCAGGGTCCCCGGAGGCTCATCCCGAGGGAGCAGAGGCCCCTTCAGAAGAGAGGCCAGATCTCCCCAAGCAAAGCCAAGCCCAGCCTTTTGAAATGCAAGCCCAGGGGAAGTCAGAGTGAGAGGCAAGGGTGCTCTTTCCCAGTCTGTGACCAGGGATGACTTCCTGCCAGAAAGAACTTCAGAATACTCAGAAACTGTACTTGGGGGATACTACCAATGATTTTACTAAGGTATTACGACTTTGGAAGTGTTAGAAAGTAAGTGTTTAATGAAATTGACTCCTTGGAGGGTGAAACCTAAGACTTATAAAGATTCAGAAATTCTCATTTTCCAAAGGAATTGAATTATTCTTAAAATGCTGTAGTTATTTTGGAAAAATAAACTTGGATATACAGGAAGGATTTTAAATGTTTTAATAGTCTTAGCTTCCTTCTGCTATTTTTTTTCTATTCTCCTTTTGTATTTTCTGCTAAAGATGTGAAAAAATAACTCAAACACTTTATGTTACATACTAAATGGAAATCTTAAGATATCCTTTAAATAATTATACTTTGAGTTCTTCTAGGGGCGATCTGTTTAGTATAAATAAAGGCAAGGAGAGGCTGAAGTGGCTTTATGTATTTGACCAGAGGAAGCATGGGCACTGAGCTCGCTCCTTCCAAGAACTCGCACCCAGAGGGTGGTGCAGTGCCAGCCACGCCTGCCCTCAGCAAACACTGACAGCGAACCCCAGCGGGGGGCGAGCTGCCACTGCCCGCTGTGTCCCTCTGACCAACAGTGGTTGTACACAGGGCTCTCTCAATTAGTGAAGCCGGATGTTTTCTCAAGAAGCAGAAGATTTCAGTAGAGACTAGAAGAAAAAATGACCTTTCTAGCAAAGGGTGCTTTTAGACTTGTGAAGGTGAAAGGAAATTGGACAAAAATAATAAATCTAAAAACAAAAGCCAATTTCTCTACCATAAGCCTGAGGGTGCATACATTCTGGCCTTATCAACAGCCCTATTAATAAACAACGGGGCTGCTTATCATTCTGCACCCCTGCTTAGTTACCAGGTAGAAGGACACAAGTAAAAATAAATAGTAAAACCTCGGGCAAAACAAAAATTGTCTATAATAATAGATCTTATAGCATAGAAATAGTTACTATTAAAACTATCCAAGCAAAAATTTTTAAGATGCATTTCATGTTTAAACTGCACTCAAATACCCTGAGGGAAGAATACTCACTAGCCCCCCTTTTGCTCTGACTCTTCTTTTATTCACATCACAATGTGCCCCCGCTGCCTCCTCCGTGCATGGTCAGAGCCTCCTACTCGCTACTCAGTGCTAGAGCATTAGTGACACAACTGAATTTTCTGGTGATTCTTCAGAACCAAGAGAACCTCCTGATTCACTTCATCGGCAACAGCCACCTCCTTGGGCGGAACTGGACCAAGCACTGAAAAAAGAGAAATTTCCGTCTGAGGAGGCTGAAGGAATGAAAGAAAATGAAGACAGGGACCAAAGGAAAACAAGCCTGGAGCCTGGGGACCGAGGAAGACTTGCTGTCCAGGAGCAGCGCAACAGGGCCGAACAGAGGCCTGGAGAGGAGGGCAGGCAGGCCCGTCCCCACGGAAACACAGCCGAGGAGGAGAAGGAGGAGGAGGAGGAGGAGGAGGAGGAGGAGGAGGAGGAGGAGGAGGAGGAGGAGGGGACCAGAGGTGTGTTACAGGTGCTGCCCCGACTCCCAGCCGGTGCTCCTCCCAGAAGCAGGCCAGCTCTGCCCAGCGGGTGCTCTCTGTCCTTCAGGACCATCAGCTGCAACGGTGCAGGCCTCACCCAGATCCCACCCCTGGCAGCGCCCGAGGTGACAAGCCTGGAGCTGGCTGGTAAGAGATGCCGATATCCTTTTCATTCTGAGCTTTGAAAGTAAATAACTGATCTCCCTATGAATGTTGTATTTTAATCTCGTAATATAAATGGATTCTAAACAGTCTATTTTCACAATCTTTAAACACATAAACACTGCAGAAGAGGTAGGTGTTTTTACTACAATATAGCATAACTGGATGTAAAGCAGAGTCCTCCAAATCCAACCATGACTTCTCATGGACTTTTTAAAAAAATGTTTTTTTCAGAGAGTGGAAGGGAGAGGGAGATAGAAACATAGATGAGAGAGAATCACTGATCTGCTGCCTCCTGCCTGGCCCCTACTAGGGATCGAGCCCGCAACCGGGCATGTGCCCTGACCTGGAATCGAACTATGACCTCCTGGTTCATGGGTCAACACTCAACCACTGAGCCATTCTTAAACTCAGCTTTCCTGAGGGTAACTCATGGAGTAAAACTCATTTTTAGCATGGAACTGAGTTTTGAGACAAGCATATAGTCAGGTGATCTCTGCCCAATTCTTCATGTCCCTCCGTTCACAAGCCCTGGCCACCAGGATGTATCTATGCCTGTAATTTAGACGTTTCCAGATGACATGAGAACGGGGCCACGAGGCACACGGCCTCCTTAGCTGGCTCCCCTATCACACTGCTTTCGGGGTCTCCAGGCTGCTGCATTTGGTCCACATCCTGCCCTCCCTGCTGCTGAGTGCTGTCTGGATGAGCAGCTGGTACCGCTGAGACATCTGGAGTGTTTCCAGGTTGGGCAGCTCTGTGCACTGTAGTCACAAACACCCATGGGCAGATGTTTGTGGAGACCCATTTCCTTCTTCCTGGAGTACATGCCAGGAGCACTGCTAAGTGACACTGACCTGTCGGCCGTTCCCCCTCATGCTAGCCATTCTGGTGGACATGGACAGCCCCAACTCCTATTCGTGTGTCTATAGGGCCACCTGAAAAGGTCCTGAGTGCAGGAACAACATGACCACGTGTGGTGTGGCGGGCTGGCTGGGAGGCTGGGCCAATGGACAATGGTGACGTGGCCCATGAGGGGTCAGGCATCTTGGGGGAAATCATAGCAATAAACTACCATCAAAATAATAAATGATAGAGAGAGAATCCAAGATGGCAGCATAGGTAACACCTAACTGCAGCCTCACACAACAATTTCAATAAAATACAACTAAAATAAAAAATGGACATTATCCAGAACTACAGGAAAGTCGACTGACTTGAAATCCTACAATGAGAAGGAAAGAGAAAACCAGAAGGAAAATCAGAGGAGCTGTAAAAGCCTAAGGTACGAGACATGTTGCGCGCAGAGAAGACAGAGGCAGAGAGGAGGGGGAGGCTGAGTGCCTGGCTGGCGTTCCCTAACGGGAAAGAGATAAAAGCTCCGGACTGTGCTGAACTCCAGATCCAACAGCACTGAACCCCAGTTCTAGGCCAGACTCTGGAGACCCAGGCTCATACAGAGGGAGCCTGGGCTGTTAGGTGGAATTCTAGGGGAGCAGCGAAAGGAAGTCCTGGAGGCGCACACATTGCGAACAGAGAACGGGTGGTTGGCTGTGCCATTGGATTGCCCTAGCAGGAAGGAGATAAAAGCTCCAGACTGCTCTGAACCCCATTTCCAACTGAACTGAATCCCAGTTCTGGGCTCATTGGGGGAGAGCCTAAACTGTTTGGTAGCAGGCAAAACTCGAGGGCACCTTTCTCTCAGAGGTGCTTGCAATGAGTACTGAAGGACCCTGAGGAACACTGAGACTCAGGAGCCTCACAGGGTGGGGCTAAAGGAAGCCAATGCTGTAGGCTCCAGCCTGAAACTCTGCCCCATCCAAGCAGAATACAGAGACTTTTAAGGCTACCAACTCAGGGAAGCTGCGAAAATGCCGAGACAAGGAAACAGATCACAAACGAAAGAAATGGAGGACAAAAAGTGACTGGATATAGAGTTCAAAACCACGCTTATAAGGTTTTTCAAGAATTTCCTAGAAAAGGTTGATAAGACCTATGAGGATATGAAAAGGGATCAACAAGAAATAATAAGGGATCAACAAGAAATAATAAGGGATACATTGTCTGAAATAAAAAAATATTATACAGTCCTAAAAACAGAATGGAAGATCGCAAGAATCAAGTCAAAGATTTGGAACATAAAGAGCCAGAAGACACTCCTCCGCAGAAGCAAGAAGATAAGAGAATCCAGAAAATTGAAGATAATGTAAGAAACCTCTGGGACAACTTCAAGCGAACCAACATCAGAATTATGGGGGTCCCAGAAGAAGAGAGAGAGCAAGATACTGAAAACATACTGGAAGAAAGTGACAGAAAACTTCCCCACCTGGTGAAAAAACTAGACCTACAAGTCCAGGAAGCGCACAGAACTCCAAACAAAAGGAATCCAAAGAGGACCACACCAAGACACATCATAATTAAAATTTCAAGAGCAAAAGACAAAGAGAGAATATTAAAAGCAGCAAGAGAAACAGGTAGTTACCTATAAAGGAGCACCCATACGATTGTCAGTTGATTTTTCAACAGAAACCATGCAGGCCAGACGGGAATGGCAAGAAATATTCAAGATGATGAATAGCAAGAACCTACAGCCAAAAATAATCTATCCAGCAAAGCTATCACTCAGAATCGAAGGCCAGATAAAGAGCTTCACTAATAAAAAAAGCTAAAGGAGTTCATCAACACCAAACCAGAATTATATGAATTGCTGAAGGGGGTTCTTTCGGAAGAGAAAGAAAATAAAGATAAAAATTATGAACAACAAATACATAACTATCAACAGGTGAATCTAAAAACCAAGGGAATTAAAAAACCTGATGAACAATATTAACTGTTGAATATAATAGAATCAGAGGTATGGAAGGGGAGTGGACTGATGATTCTCAGGGAAAAGGGGAGTGGGGGGTGCGGGAAGAGATTGAACATAAACTGTGCACCTATGGATGAGGACAATGGGGGGTGGGGAAATGGCAGAGGGTGGGATAGGAACCTGGTGGAGGGGGGGGGGGGAATGAGGAATTTTTGTAATAATATGAACAATAAAGGTTTATTTTAAAAAATTAAAGAATCTATTTCAAAGCCCCCCCCCCCCAAAAAAAAATCATAATATAACTACTCAACAGAAAAAGTCTGACACCTTTGCTCAGGACGGCCAGTCTGTGACAGACCCCTCTGCATCACGGTCTCCCGACACCACGGTCTTGTGACTCCAGCAAAGCCCCTCCTGCACAGCATGCCAGATGTCCATAAGAAAGCTTGGTTCTCAAAAGTCTAGAGCCTTATGTCAGTGATGGCCGTTGCACACAGGAGCGTGGATTTACAGGGAGGTCACATGTGGTTTATATTGTGCTTACTCTTTCTGAGAAGCTCATTTTCTGAGTTTAAAACCATTGACTACTGTACTTAACTAAACATCAAAACAAAACCCCATGAAGTTAAGGCATGTAGGAACTTCTGCAGATCAGACATGGGAGCAGAACCACGGACCTGGAGGGGATGAGATTATCTCCTCAAGTGGCTGATTTAGGGACTGAGCCTGGTGCTCCAGAAAGAAAATAGGCATGCCACAATGTCCCTGACTAACAGCAGGCTGATAGTTGCGAGCAGGGCCTAAGAAATGCCTATGGGGAAAGGTGAGGAACTAGAAACCATCTAGAAACCTCTGTCATACCATGCCCAGCCTACCAGAATTGTCCAGCAACCACACACTGCACGCTTTAGGCAGCTTTGTCTAAACATGAAGTACTAGAGCATGGCAAGTCCTTAGAGAGAACATCTGTGGAACAGTTTAGTCTCAGTCTTTCATTTCTCTAAATGTGTGTTTGCTTATGTAATATGCATCCCGCCCATGCTGTGCGGACTGCTTTTTCCTACAGAGAAAACCCTCGGTTGCTATCTGTGGAAGTGCGTGTGGGTAGGTACTGGCACATCGGTCTAAAACCCAACTGTCCTGTCTTAGGCAATGCCATCGCCTCCATCCCGGAGGAAGCGTTTTACGGACTGCCGCATGTGGAAAGGCTTGATTTGAGCAACAATAACATCACCTCCTCAGGCATAAGTCCAAAAGCATTCAAGGTAAACCCACACTCTGCTCTGTCAAATCTGTTTGGATCGCTATCCCATGACTCGCACTGTAGTGGTGGAGATGGGGACGAGAGGAGAAGCTGAATGTTTGCCTGGGAGCACTCCCCAAAGGGGAGAAACTTTCCTCCCTGAGGACCCTGACCTGTGGAAGCTTTCCCTGGCACCGGGCCTGTTAGGCACAAGTGTCCGGCAGCCACACCCTCAGGGCACCAGACACTGCACCAATGACAACATTAACTGTGTTAGTTATAGACTAGCTGCCCCGTGTAGCTGAGAACATGACGTGAAGTGCTCCAAGGAGGAAGGACGGAATCTGGAAGCTTCCCTAACGCTGGGTGGCAGCTCGTGTGAGCCCCCTGCTCTGGGTCGGGCAGCACCGATGAGGGGACACGTTAGCAAGAGGGCATCTGGAAACACACATGGACTCAGGGTTCAGGTTGGGAAAAGAAGAGAGGAGAAGAGGGAAACAGCACAGGATAAGTTTCAAAAAGATTCAGATTAGACTTTTTTTTCTCTAAAAAGGAGAAAAGAAGAGAGGATGAAGGACTTTCTGAGAAACAGAAAAGGAAAAGGGGCAGGAAAGGAGATGGCTGTGTGTATGCAATGCTCACAAATATGTGTGTTCAGAAGCCCAGCACAAATACCACAGCACTGGGCAAACTGCCCCTCTGCAAGCCTGTCCCCTCCTTGCACAACTCCCTCCGGGGCACACAGTCCTGGATCACCCACTCGGGCTGGCAGGGAAGAAGGCCCACACTTCCTCTCAGACTGCGTGCCCCTCAGGCAGCTGTCCTGATCGAAACCTGGGCACGATGCATTCCCGGTTTTGATAAAAAGAAAGGCATTGTAGGAATCACCTTCCCTTCTTGTTTGGGAACTGCTCTGAACCCACTGACGTGAGTTGCCCATGTGGCCCCACTCAAACCCGCCAGCGGCAGTGCTGCTGACCGGCAGCTGGGGCGGAGACAAAGCCGTGAGGGTGCCACGGAGCAATGGCCTGTGATGCCGATCACCGCTTGCTGAGACATGCTCCATCTTAGTGCTGTGTTATAATCTGCTTCCAGTTAGTGAGCAGAAAGCTGAGTTTTACAAATATGTTCGTGGGGTTCAAATTGCTGTGCTAACACCACCACCCTGGGGACTCAAGCCGCTGCCCTGGTACATCAGACAGAGAATTCACACGGAGAGCTTTAATACCCGTGTGTCTGCTGCCGAGAAGGTGAAAACCCAAGATCTAGCAAAACATACCCAATCCAGTGCGATAGACGCTTTCTCCCGGTTCCGTGGCCACAGAACGTGTGGCCGATCTCTATGGCAAGTGGAACATGACTACCTAGCGTGGCAGAGAGGAGAGGGGGACCCCATTGAAACCCCAGTGAGGCAGGCTTAGAGGCATAACTGCAGCTAAACTGACCAGGAAGTGGGGTGTCCCGGACACCTGTGCCAGACGAAGCAGTAACCTAAGGTCTACTTTTTAAGCCGTTGAAGAGGTTGGTGCACCTGAACTTGGACGGAAACAGCCTGGCAGAGCTTCCTTCGGAGCTGCCGCCGACCCTGGAGGAACTCAAAGTCAGCGAGAACGGGCTCCGCGCTGTCGACGGGGAGCGCTTGTCAGGTACTGAGTGCGCGGTCAGTGTCCGTGGAACTTCTGTCGTCATGGGGGCATTTTATTTGCGGTTTTGCCAGATGCATAGATGGCAAGGTTTTTAGGTCACTTTACCATTAAAGTGGAGACGTCTTGTTTCAATACTGATTGGTGTAACCTCTAAAATGTATTTTAAACTGCCCGCTGTCTTCACAAGTCCTCAGTGACTCAGGTCCTCTCATCTAGTGACTGAGCTCCAGACCTCTAACCCTCAGCGCCACGCGGCCAGGTGGTGCTGGCGGCCGGGGGCCTGTGGCGGCACTGGGGCTGGGCGGCTCTTATTGCTCCTGCTGTGCAGTGCACGCGCCTCAGCCCGTTGCCTGCACACGTTTTGCTACTGTAATCTGTCATATGTTGGCATACAGACTCCATCACATGATCAAGTGAACACAGGCAGCCCACGCAGTCTCTCTGGCCCGAGCTCATGGTGGAGGATACCAAGTATGTGGCTGCGGGGCAGCCCGGTCCCCGAAGGATAGGTGTTTGGGAAGGGCCCGAGGCCCGTGCATCTGATACACATAGAACTGACTATGCTTGTGGTTGTTTCTGGACTAATCTGGAGAGCTAAAGTTGTCATATGATCTATATATATGTAAAAGGCTAAGCAAGCCTCCGACCGACGGACTGACCGTACAGTAGGTATGACGCACACTGACCACCAGGGGGCAGACGCTCAGTGCAGGAACTGCCCAACGACAGCAACTTTGCAGAGTGCCTTCTTGAATTCCAGGGATCCCTTGGGAGATGTTGGAGAGCCGGTTTCGGCCCAATCCCTGAAGGCCAGGCTGGACCCCCCCTGCCAGAGGCACCCGCTCACTCAACAGACGCCCTTTGAGCCATGGTGTCGCCGCAGGTGCAGCTGGCCTGCCACCAGTCCGCCCTGCAGGGCTAATTATTCCCCTTCAACGTGCACAGATCTGTGCACTGTAAACTCTATAAAAGAGGCAGGATCATAGTTAGCTTTCCAGGAACTCTAGCTAATGTCTTTGATTAGATTATGACTAACTGGCAAGTTTTTTGTTTTATCTTTCTAACAGTCTAATGTAGCTCTTGAGGTATAGTGCTCAACACTTTTTACTTGATCTGAAATATACTTATTATGTTCATGTATCTTTTTTAATTTTTTAAAAATATATATTTTATTTATTTTTTACAGAGAGGAAGAGAGAGGGGGGTAGAGAGTTAGAAACATCGATGAGAGAGAATCATCGATCAGCCGCCTTCTGCACACCCCCTTCTGGGGATGCGCCCGCAACCAAGGTACATTCCCCTGACCAGAATCGAACCTGGGACCCTTCAGTCCACAGGCTGACGCTCTATCCACTGAGCCAAACCGGTTTCGGCATGTTTATGTATCTTGATAAGCCAAGATTTTAAAGGAAGAAAACAATTCAATTATTTCCTTTCATTCTCAAAAAACTTCATAGGAAGAAAACAGTTCTGACAATAGGAAAACAATAAAAAGAATTGCCAAATCTGAGGATTCCAGAGTTATGGAAATATTCTGTTTCCAGATTGGTTTCTTGTGTACAAGAAAAACATTAACAAACACAAAATTTGATGGGCTTTTTAAAATGGAAAAGATATTAGAAAATTCAATTTCTGACTGCTAGAAATTAAAACAGACCAAATAACACTTAATTTAGAAGAAGTGTACTAAGGGCTGTATGTGAATTACATGTGAAACCATATAATTGTGTTGTCACATGACATGTTATAAAGTCTAAGTCCACATTTAGAAAATGCTATGGTACATCACTGCAACTGCTTTTCTCGTCCTCTCCCTCATGGACAGATACTCCCTCCGCGCCGAGAGAGACCGGGCCGGCGAGCTGCCAGCTGCCTAGGGGCGTGAGGAGGCGCTCCTCCGCCACCCAAGGGCCCCGCACTGGGGATGGTCCTTCTGTGTGGCTGTGTTCTGAGCCCTGGCCAGTGCTAACCACTCGGGCTGGGCTCGCTCGCTCTCTTTCTCAGACTGCTCAGCTCCTGTGAGTCCTGCTGCCCCTGTAGCGGGCTGACAGGCAGAGAGCTGGGTGGGCCTGTGCGAAGGCCATCCCAGAGCTGTCTGCTCGCTCTAGGGGAAGCCTCAGCTGGGCCACCAGGGCCTGCTGTCTTCCATCCTCTCCCGAGGTGGGGCGTCACCAGGACTGTCCAGGTTACGTCGCGTTCCAGGGAAGCAGGGAGACAGACACTTCAGAGACGCAGCATGAGCAAAAGCGTGGAAGCAAGGAAGAACCTGGACACCACAGGCTGCACGCAGGGCCTGCCCGTCAGTTGGGATGCCGGGGGTGGGCCTGAGGAGGCGCAGGAACTGGACAACCAGGAGCTGCAGCCTGTGCTGGCCCTGAGAGCTCCCTGGACGGGATCTGCATGCCTTCATGGGAGAGCTACCTCTACAAACGAGGAGCAGGAGTAGAAGGACAAAGAGAAACAGCAAGGGAAAACCAGTGGGTTGAAAACATGCCTGTCCACACCTGTCATGCTGTCATGCTGTCCCCAGCAACAGGAGTGATTTCCTACCAATGTCCTGCTAATAAATCCCCTTTCTACCCCATCTAACCTACACGTTTTAATCTTTTCTAACTCTATCCAGGTTCCTGTTACAGTGACATACATACTGTGTTTCCTATATATACATTATATGCACAAATGAGAGAATTATTACAAAATGATGCATAGTACCACAAGTTTGCATCACGTATTAGGTTTCTCTCTTCTGAGGTAATGAAATAACCACTAGTCTACTTCTGTTACCTGTTTTTGACTGGAAAACTTCTATTAAAAACCCAAGCCTGATAAATATGCAGGATTCTCAGGACTTCTGTTTTGGAAATTAAAGAAGAGAACTACAATCACTTATTAAGTTTACTGGTTGGCCTCACAAATTGCCGTCTCTCAGCCCTTCAACAGATCCTGAACACCACCATCCAACCACGTGTACACTGTCTCCTCAGGTATCCCCTAGCACCTATGGTCTACTCCAGAGAGCACTGCCTTGCTTCTCTGATAGGCCTACAGGGAGGAAATGGGTTGCATAGAGCATTTAGGGTGACAGCTGTGACTTGAGTTGAATATTAAAACATCCCCTATTCTGGAAATCTTAACCACTGAACAAACTCCCAAGTTACACCCTGAATATCTGACTCAGACGCCTCTGGCAATCATTACTCCTAAACTGCTCATTCTTTTGTAATTAAAAAATCATTATAAACAGCAAAACAGATGGCCCCCATCTGCACCCGGTACCCCCCTCCCACTCTACCCCAGAGTCTGAGTCTCAGGGCTATGCATATATGCATATTACACTTTTGGTTAATCTCTTCCTGCTTCTTCCATCCCTGAGATCTGTCCATCTGAATCCATTTTGTTCGTCAGTTTATTTTGTTCATTAGATTCCACATATAAGTGAGATCATGTCATACTTGTCTTTCTCTGATTGGCTTATTTTGCTTAGCATACTCCCCAGATCCCTCCATGCTATTTCAAAGGTAACAGATCCTACTTGTTTTTAGAGCTGCACTAGAGGCCTGGTGCATGAAATTTGTGTTCAGGTAGGGTCCTTAAGCTTGGCCAGCGATTGGGGCTGATCTGCAGGGCAACTGGGGGGCTCCACTTGCACCTGCCTTGGTGGCCTGGGACCTGCAAACTGAGGGAAGCTCCTGCACCTGCCCCCTGGTTGTCAGTGTGAGTCATGGTGATGGGTCATTCCACCAGTTCAGTCAATTTGCATATTAGGCTTTTATCACATAGGATAGTGGATAGTGTTCCATTGTGTGAATGTACCCATTTTTTTGTTAGTTTTTTAATCCATCTATTGATGGGCACTTGGACTATTTCCAGATCTTAGCTATTGTAAATTATGTTGCTGTGAACATAGGGGTGCACATATTTCTGATTGTTGTTTCTGGATTCATAGGATATGATCCCAGAAGTGGGATCACTGAGTCAAAGGTTGACACTCCATATTCAGTCTTCTGAAGAGGCTCCATACTGTTTTCTACAGTGGCTGCACCAGGCTGCATTCCCACCAGCAGTGCACGAGGGTTCTCTTTTCTCCACAGCCTCACCAGCACTTGAATGGTAACCATTTTGACAAGTGTGAGGTGATAGCTCATCGTTTTCATTTATATCTCTCCGAAGATCAGCAACTTTGAGCATATTTTCATATGTATCTTGGCCTTCTATATATCCCTTTTGGACAAATGTCTATTCAGGCCCTTTGCCCATTTTTAAATTGGATTACTTGTCTTCGTTTTGTTAAGTTGTATGAGTTCTTTATATATTTTTGAGATATGTTCTCTCATACAGTGGGTTCCCTTTTCAATTTGATGGTGTGTGCGTGTGTGTGTGTGTGTGTTTGCAGAAGTTTTTTAGTTTGATGAGTTCCATTTGTTTATATTTTCTTTTCTTAATATATTTTATTGATTTTTTACAGATAGGAAGGGAGAGGGATAGAAAGCTAGAAACATCTGAGAGAGAAACATTGATCAGCTGCCTTCTGCACACTCCCAACCGGGGACATGCCCACAACCAATGTACATGCCCTTGACTGGAATTGAACCTGGGACCCTTCACTCCATAGACCGATGCTCTGTCCACTTAGCCAAACCAGTAATGGTTGTTGATATTTTCCTTTGTTTATATTACCCTAGATGTATTGGTGACAATCCTTCCATGCAAGATGCCAGAGAATTTGCTGCCTATGGTTTCTTCTACAATTTTTATGGTTTTCACTAGAGGCCCAATGCACAAAATTCATGCAAAGGGCTCAGCCCTCGCAGCCCTGCCTGCTGCCACCCTCTCAGGGGCAATTGATCTCGGAGCCCTCCTCCCCCATAAACTGCAGAAAGTGGTGGTGGCAGTCGAGGCTGTGAGGGCCTTACAATATCTTCTTATTTTTGGATTCTTTTTGCTTTTTGCTTTTCCGGTTGAGTGTTTTTTGTTTCTTTGTATTTCTAGTCTGCTGTTAG